CCGGCACGAACTACCAATCGACATAGGCGATTCCCTGCCTATCGCCACGGTATTCTACGATAAAATGGAAAGGAAGCTGCGTCAGCACCCCAAACTCTCCGCGCAGTATAATGACTTTTTGGCGGAATATCTCGCTTTGGGACATATGAGCGCGATCGAAAATCCCTGCGACACCGCTCTTACGCCCGTGTACATTCCGCATCATTCGGTTTTACGCGAAACGAGTAGTACCACGAAGTTACGCGTCGTTTTTAACGCCTCGTGCAAAACGACGAACGGCACGTCGCTTAACGACCATCTGTTGGTCGGACCGAAGTTACAGCAAGCCCTCCCCGCTATTCTGCTGCGCTGGCGGCAGTGGCGTTTTGTTTATGCAGCAGACATCGCCAAGATGTTCCGGCAAATCCTCGTGAATAATCTCGATACCGACTTCCAACGAATTCTCTGGCGTCCGTCCTGCGACACGCCGATCACGCATTTCCGGCTTTTGACCGTAACGTACGGGCTCGCTCCCGCTCCGTATCTCGCGATGCGCGTTTTGAAACAATTGTCGTTAGACGAAGGGTCCGACTATTCGGCGGCCGTCCCGATATTACGCGACTCCGTCTACGTCGACGACGCGCTATTTGGTGGAGATGACGTCGCGTCGCTGATGGAATGTCGCGAACAATTGACGGGACTCCTTCAGCGAGGGGGCTTTCAATTACGGAAATGGGCGTCAAATTCGCCTGAATTACTGCGTGATTTGGCAACGCGTCAAACCGACATGGAGGATCACCTCCTTCAGCCGGACGAGACCCTTAAGGTACTCGGAATTTCGTGGCTTCCCCACGACGACACGTTTCGTTTTTAAGTGGACGCTTCGTTTCCGGTCACTCCGGTCGACGAAGCGTTCAGTCCTGTCAGTTATTGCTCGATTATACGACCCCCTCGGCTGGGCCGCCCCCGTCATCATTGTTGCAAAAATCCTTTTACAGGAATTATGGTTAACCCAATCCGATTTGGACACCCCTCTCCTTGACGAACTGCGTCAGCAGTGGGAGGCATATTATAATAATTTAGAGACACTAAACGGTATCCGGATCCCTCGTTGGACCGGTCGACGAGGTAACGAAGTCGCCTTTGAACTACACGGTTTCGCGGATGCCTCAAACCGAGCCTACGCCGCCGTCGTTTACATTCGCATTCTTCACATGCATGCGGACGTTCTGTCTGTCTACTCGCCGCGAAAACTAAAGTCGCGCCTCTTAAGACTCAGCATACCGCGACTCGAACTGAACGCTATCGTATTGCTGAGTCGATTGATTAAGTGGGTTCAGACGACCCTAAGTTCGCCCTCCGCGTCAGTGTTCGGCTGGTCAGATTCGGCGGTCGCGCTAGCATGGCTACGCCAGCACCCCGCGAAGTGGCAAACGTTCGTAGCCAATCGCGTGTCCGAGGTGCAACGTACCCTGCCGGAGGCGCGCTAGAATCATGTGTCTTCTAAATACAACCCCGCTGACTGCGCCTCACACGGCCTGTCGGCTGAAGAACCGTCCTCTCACCCCCTGTGGTGGACAGGGCCGAGGTGGCTCGCCCGGTCGTCTACGTGGCCGACCGACGACCACTCTCTTTCTCTTGATCGTAGTACCAATCAACAGGTCTACGACGAAGCTCACGCTCACGTCGTCCTCCACGTTGAAAGTGAGGACGAATGGGAACTGATTCGCAAATTCTCAACGTGGACTCGATTAATCCGAGTCACGGCTTACGTACGACGCTTCATTTCTGGAGTAAAACGCCAGAAATCCGAGCGTACGTCACTCGTATTAACAGTACCTGAGCTTCGCGAAGCCGAAATGTTTTGGTTCCGCTACGCGCAAAAATTAGCATTTGCGCCGGAAATTAGAGCATTAAGCACTAATTCTTCTCTTTCGCGATCCAGCCCTCTAAGGGCTTTGCATCCGTTCGTAGATTAGAACGCCTTACTCCGTCTTGGCTGGCGGTTGCAGAACGCTGCTCTCCGCTACGACGAGCAGCACCCGATAATACTTCCCAGAGATCGGATCGCCAAGCTGCTGATTCAGCGCGCGCACAAAGCCACCCTGCACGGTGGAACGCAGCTAGTCATCCGCACGCTGCGACAGCGGCACTGGATAATCGGGTGTCGTAAGGCCGTTAAATCTCATATTCGCGCGTGCGTTACGTGCACGCGTTACTCCGCGCTGCCTTGCTCGCAACTCATGGGAGGGCTTCCCGCTTCTCGGGTTAACCCGTCGCTGCCGTTCGACCACACCGTTGTGGACTACGGCGGTCCCTTTAATGTTCTTCCGTTGATCGGGCGCGGACAAAAACCAAGAAAGAACTACGTCGCTTTATTCATTTGCCTCGCCACGAGGGCCGTGCACCTCGAGCTGGTCGAAGACTGTTCCGCGGACGGTTTTCTGGCCGCGTTCTGTCGGTTCTCGTGTCGCCGCGGGTTGCCGCGTCGGATGTACAGTGATAACGGTACCAATTTCCACGGTGCCGACCGCGAACTGCTACGGCAATTTCACGCGTTGAAGGATCACCCCGCAATGCGAGATGTTCTCGCCGCCGACGGCGTGGAATGGGAGTTCGTCCCGTCGGCCGCTCCGCATTTTGGCGGTCTGTGGGAAGCCGGAGTGAAGAGCTTCAAAGCTCACTTAAAGCGAGTCGTCGGGGCTGGCACTATTTCTCGGGCGGAATTCGCGACGCTTCTGTGTCAAATAGAAGCCTGCTTGAACTCGCGTCCGATTGCTGCTCTCAGCGACGACCCCAGCGACATGTCCGCGCTCACGCTCGGACACTTTTTGATAGGGCGTCCGATAATCGCGGTTCCGGAGGAGTCCGTGCTCGAGATCAATCCGGACCGCCTTTCCTGCTGGCAGCTAGTGAGCTCCATGCGGGAGCAATTCTGGCGTGCCTGGTCGCATGATTATTTGTTGTCGCTTCAGACGAGAACCAAGTGGCGAGACGCCGCGCCAAATTTAGAAGTCGGTGATCTCGTCATTGTAAAGAACCCTTTGCTCCCTCTGAGCAAATAGGAACTTGCGAGAATCCAGCAGGTTCATCCCGGGTCCGACGGACTCGTCCGGGTGGTTACGATACGC